CAAAGACCCAATGAAAGCCACAAGAAGACTCTGAAGAAGAAATCCTGCAGTAATCATGAGAAATTTTATAGAGATGATACTGGAGTATGGTCAACAACAAAATGTACAGGAGACACTTAGAATTCCAAGACAACAAAAATAGAGAATTTGAGAAAAGCACAAGAAGAAATAAAGAAACCATAGAAGCACTGTATAAACACAAAGTGAAACAAAGAACACGATTAATAAGAGATAAATGAACTCAGGACAAAAATAGACAAATTAAAGAGGAAACTCAGTAATATGGAAAACCTCAGAAAAAAGAACGAAACAAATGCAAAACAAAATGGAAGCCAATCCAGCAGAATAGAACAAACAGAAGACAGAAATCTCAGAACTTGAAAGATAAATGGTAATTAAAGGAAAACCGAAAGAACTATTAGTTAAACAACTCAAGACTTGTGAAAAGAAAATGCAAGAATCACTGACTCCATCAAAAGACCAAACTGAGAATCATGGGCATCAAGAAGGAGAAGAGGTGCAAGCAAAGGGGAATGCATAATATATCAACAAAATAAATACAGAAAATTTCCCAAATCTAGAGAAAGATTATTCCCATATAAGAGCAATGAAGGCCTCCAGAACACCAAACAGACCAGACAAAAATAGAACTACCCACACATATCATCATAAAAACAACAAGTAGAGAACTGAGAAAGAATATTGAACGGTGTAAGAGAGAAAAACAAAAAGTAAAACCCATCAAAAATCCACACAGACTTCTCAACAGAAACATTAAAGCAAGAAGAGCGATGGTGAGATCTTCCAGGCAATGAATGAAAATAACTTCAACCCTAGGATACTCTAACCCAGCAAAACTATCATCAATAGATGGAGCAAAAAAATCTTCCATGATAAGCAAGAAACTAAAATAATATATGACCACAAAGCCACCACTACAAAAGATTCTGCAAGGATTCTGCACACAGAAATTGTGAAACCCAACATAACCATGAAAAGGCAGGCAGCACCAAACCACAGGAAAAAGAAAAACAAGACAGTAGAGAGTAAACTTCATTTAGGTACACACAATCAAACTTTCAAACAACTAGAGACAACTAAATGACAGGAATCACCACATACCTATCAGTATTAACTTAATGTTAACGGACTTTAATTCCCCCATCAAAAGGCACCACCATTTGACAAAATGGATTAAAAGGAGATCCCAACAATTTGTTGCTTACAGGAGACTCATCTCACCGAAAATAGCATAGGCTTAGGATGAAAGGCTGGGAAGAAGATTTACCAAGCCAATGCCCCCGAAAACAGGCAGGATAGCAATACTTATC